CGCGCGGCCCCCCCCCCCCCCGCCCCGCGCCTCACCCGCTGCCCCCGCACCGTCCCCAGGTATGGGGCGAGGGGACCAGCAGAACCAGGAAAGAGCCGTCCTTGTCCTTGGGCCGGGAGCCCGTCCACTTCCGCTCCAGTCGGGGCTGCGTGACCCTTCTCCTGAACCCCAAGGGCGAGGTATGTGCGGCCGCAGCGGGGGAGGGGTTGGATTGGCCTGGAGAGGTGAGGGTGACCCACGCGCCCCTGCTGGCTTGCAGGTCCTCAGCCAACACCAGGCCCCGCACTCCGTGACCCCGGTCTCCAGAATCTTCGTGAACAACACCGACTTGTCCATTGATTGCTTCCCGCTGTCTGAGGCCCAGCCCGACACCGACGCTGGCAACACTGGCGACACTGGCCAGCAGAAGCGCCGGCCTCGACCCCCGTGCAAGGGCCGGGTGCAAGAGGCCAGGGCCAAGCTCCGGAAGCCGGGGTGGGAACCCGGGTCGCTCTATGCTCGTGCCTGCCCCATCTCCCCGCCCCTCCAAAGCAAAAAGCTTCCCGTTTTCTGGCTAGGAGCCCTCCCCGATCCTCTCCAGGCCAGGCTCGCCCCCTCCCCAAGTTCTCCTGCTCCAGGCCCCTTCAGCTCTCAGGTCAGACCCGCACCAAGACCTGCTTTCCGCAGGCCGCTTGCTGCAGCCCTCACGACCCGCTTGCCCCACCAGGACACGGGGCACTTTGCCACTCCTGGGCACCAGCAAGCCCTGCCACCCGCGGGAGGTGCCAGCTCGGCCAGAACGCGCCGAGACCAAGGCACCAGAGCTCCTGCCAACCATCTCAGGCGAGGGGGCGCAGGAAGCAGAGGGACAGGAGGGCAGCCTGCTGAGGGGACGCCGCCAGCCTGACCCCAGCCCCATCATGTCACACGCAGAGACCGAGGCCGAGTCGCGCCTCCAGGACTGCCGGGCCAGGAAGGAGCACAAGGTCCGGGTGAGTGCACTAGGGGAGAGTCTGCAGGGCGGCGGGTCCCCCACCGCACAGCCCGCGCCGCTCTTAGGCCCGGGTGCCCCGCAGGTGTGCCGGAAGCGCGTGGACCGGAGCTGC